GCAGGAATAATTTTTAAAATTTTTATTCGTGCTTCAGATTGCCGTCTAACGAAGATGCCACTGAATCAACAAATAAGAAAATACTCGGTAATTACTTAAGAATAAATATTCATTTAAAGATGCTGTGATGGAACTTATCAGTTTGAATACAAAAATTCTGAACATTGTTACAGCGTCCCGAAAATCTCGACTGCAAACCAACCTTCCAGCAAACGGTGACATAACAGTGGAGTTCCCGATAGGGAATGAAGGCCATTTACAGATGCTGGAAGCATCTTTAAGAGACGACATGTACAAACAGCAATATGTGAGTTGACATATTCAATTCTTATTTCTTGTTGACTGCTAAGATGGTTAGCTGCCTTCAGAGTGATCTAAAGATATTACTTAAGGTCATGATGCACCGTGTTCTAAAACCTGAAGTGGGTTTGAAGTTTACATTCCAGGGGACTTTGACAAAATCAAGCATTATATATGATATATTTCTTCCTGTTTATGCAGGAACATACCAATTATGCCTTAATGCCTTATGCCTTTTATAAAATAATGAGATATAAGATTCATTAATGAAATAATTAGTTTTGTAGCTTTAATTATGTCGCACTTCTTCAGCCAACTAATGACAACGAGAGAGATTTGTGACATAAGGCCACGAAATCGTACTTTCATAATTTGAACGATAATGTCCAAAGGCATAAGCGGAAGCAAGGAATTCAGGTAATATTGCGAAACGCCTGCTTACTTTTATAAGGGAACGTTTATTCAGCATGTAGTAATCACAACATTGTTTTCATTTTTAGGCAAATGAAAAAGATACCAGGGGATATAACAGTGGCAATTATGTAAGTAAACTTTTGTGTAAATGCCTAGAAAGTGCTGAGCACAATTTTTCATCAACTAATATTTTATTTTACTTATTTGCAGGATGCTACCAGTGGATCGCACTTGATGGGATTGCAGTGATATTGTACTACAGTTTATAAATACAAAAGTCTTTCAATCATAAAAACTGATTTCTTTCTGTAAACTAAATGAATTGCACAGGCGTAGGATACAGGCGATGATAATAAGTAGAAGTGTTTTCGTTGTAAACTTATGCTAGTCAGTGGTGGAGATGATCTGCAAAGACTTGAATTAAGCTGAAAAAATTTCCACTATGTGCTGAATTTAGTCTTTTCGTTCTAAAGTAATGCCGATCAGTGCTGTAAATGATCTGAAAGGGCTGAAATGAAGCTGACAAGCTAACCCAGCAGGTTCTGATCTACTCCTGAAAATGCCTAAAAAAGAATTAGCGCTAGTCGTGCTGAAAACCAGCACTGAGTTCTAGTCTGCACAATCCATTTCAGAACAGATTCGGAATTTACTCACTGTAAGATGCCAGAATTATTTCAGAATTACTGAGATTTAATTCAGAATTATAGTAGTAGGTTACAATTGTAATTTATAAATTACAATTGTAACCTGCAAATCAACAACAGTAAGACATATGTTACCAAATAATTAGAAATACAAGAATGCTACATACCAAAGTGCCTTTTGGGAAAAACTTTGTTTATTCACTGTTATTTTACGAATAAATTAACTAACACTCCTTTATAGCTGTAAACTCTTCTGACTGTTACAAAGTTTTCATAACTTGGAGATTCAAAACACCCCTTCAGAATTTCGCAAAATGTACTTAAAACACCTAATTTATTTCGTTTTTTCTCAACAATTTACACAGAGTTTTAACATTCCACGTGCAAAGAAACAACTAAATTCGATGAAGGATACGTGTTCACTCAAACTGCTGAAAAACGTCTACTTTCCACCATTTTTCTAAGCTTTTCGTTAAAATATGATACTTTTAATGTATTTCAGTTGAAAAAACACCTGAAAACAACGTAGAACAACCCAAACACAACATCGCGATAACACATAACGACACCCGTGTATGCCTTGATCCATTGCCTCACACTCCTGGGACGCTATTGTTGAACTCCGCTCTCTTTACGACCTTATACCTAGAATTGTCGTTCTTCGGCTTAGACAGTGCTGATTTGCTGCCGTTCCCTTACGGATATAAAAATTATAGTATATGTTGTCTTAATTGGGTTAACCTAAGCCTAGCTTGAACTTTGCTTAAAGAGTAACTTAATCTCTTTGGAACCTAATCTCTAACTTGCCTGATAGTCCATTCAATAGCATAATACTTCTATGAGTGTATTTTATTGATGATGAGAACATAACTTGTCAGGTTTCACTCGCTTGCTCATTGAGTGCTTCAAGGTCATTGGTGAGGTCGCACTCCATTGGCTGTTACTGGTGCACAACTTCCAGTAGTTTGTTGCGTTTTTTGATTTGTGATATCAACATTTGGCGGCAGCCTGTAGACGGCCGTAGGTCATTTGATCAGCTGATGAATATTGGCGTTATTTTCGGAAATGACGTCAAGGTTAGGTCATTTTTCGTTGTTTTACACACTTTTTTACATATATTCCAGTTAAAAGTTGATGAAATACGGCGTATTTAGCAGAAATAGGCAATGGTGGTGTCCTTATCCGGCCGTAGCTTACAGGCAGTTTGCAGTTTTTTGGAAAAACGTACTTCTCCGTTCAAAATACGTCGAATTACTTGAAGAAACATGTTATAATGATCTTTTCGTGAATTTTCTTTGCATTTTAATGGATTACACATGGACATGACGAGATGGGATAGCTCATTTCGGTAATTATATCATTTACTTCCTTGTTTAATTTTCGTAATGCTGACAAGGCTACTCCATATGTATTTCTTTAGGAAAAATCTGCAGAAATACTTAGAAATTATATACGCAAAGTAATTCCATTTTTTATGGCATAAACTTGATGTTTGCAGGCAGATGCAATATGGATTTTATATTATTGAAAACTGTGGACTTACATAATTATATACAATTCAAGTAATTATTTCGTCATTTTAAACATATTTAATGGTTAGTTATTGTGTTAACACTGATAACAATGTCTATATCTGTATATATCTTATGTCCTTTTTCAGATAATATCTACTTTCGGGAATTTCATGGATTTCGTTGATAAAGAAAAAGATACCTGCACTGTTGTCGATTTTGTATTACATGTTAATTCATTAATAAATGTATTCCTCGTTAATCGTTTGTTTATTCTACTTGATAAGACCGAATATTAGCCCTTGCGTAATATGTGAGGTATAGAGTATATGAGGCTATCTTTGAAATACTAAGTAGGAGCAGATATTTGGAAAAGCCTATTGGTAAAAGATTATGTTGTGGTCAAATAAAGTAAATATGTCTAAACCGTAGAGAAGGTGTTGCGATTATAAAGCGTTTCGAGTTATATATCGTCATAGCAGAATACGTAAACTGATTCCCGATTCATAGTCACAAAGTGAGAATAAATTTACCTGTGATAGTTTGCTTGTGATTTCTGCATGTCGCAATGTAACATAAGGAGAGACTATACCTATGCTGTTAGATGTATAACTCAGTGCAACTACGGTTATCGTAATAATTAAAAACAGAATGCCTAGGGCTCTCACCCACGGAACACGATGCGTTGCTATCTGCTCCTATAACCACGTAAACAAAAGTTTTCCAGACACCGAATTTACTCCTAACAGTTTACCCTCAACTCCTAACTTAGCACGAGTTACTTATGTTACTGGAACACAATCGCATTACAACAGAAGGAAGACAGATTCATTGAAAAATTGTTTATTAAACAAAAATCAGATTTCAAATGTACAGATAATTCAGATGAGTAGTCCTTTGTTACCGTCAGTAAGTTCCATCTGAGAACACGGCACATATATGTTTTTCCATAAGTCTGAAAAGGTTTAAGAAAGGCATAATTAACTTGGGTATTACATGCATGATCTGAATAAAAAATTTTTCCTGATAAGCATTTACAAGTAATCACTTTACAAACAATATATATATATATATGTATAAGTAGCCCAATAGTTTTCACTAAACTTAAGGGACTTTGCAACCTATCGCTGGTCGATATCCAGTAGGTCCATTGAAGCATCATGAAATGATAAAATTATCTAACAACAAGTTATGCAGTAGTTTTCAAAGCTTGTACAAATATTTTAGCAAAAATAACAACCACTTTATGACAAATAATAGGTATTGACAGCAATAATAATGACATTCATGTTCATAGTGACTATAAAAACAATAATAGGTATTATCATCGCAACGAATTCATCATTAACTTAGATAGACAACTAATAATTATACAATCATGTCAAATAAATGTATCACTTAATCTTAAGAAGCATGTGTTTACTTACTTTCACTGTATTCTCTCAATACTGATGTGCTCAACAAGCTTATTCCAACTGAATTCAAGATTAATTCTGAAAGTGAGTGAAGATCCAGCTTGTGTCAAATAAAAACATGTAACTTACATGTATTACACTGCTTACTGAGACATCTGATACCTGCTTTCCGATCTTCGTGACAAGAACACAGTTTATCTAGGTTTACCTACATATACATGAGTATATGTATATGCTGCATGAACCATGCCATTTTGATCATGATTAGCCAGACCACTGTGTATATCATACTTATTTAAGGATCTCTGAAAATAATGGTCAAGCAATAATTGAAGTTGCGTGAAGTTATTACCTCTTCAGAACATTGTTTGCATTCTTCACACCCCTAAGAAGTCCTTAGATCTTAATTTGGCATGAATTCGTTGAATTCAGCAAATAAATCCACCGGTATTTCATTTCCCTCCTGAGCTGTAATAGTTTGCGTTGTCAGTTATCTCTCAAATTTGATAAAACGATCCCGGAAATTCAGTACTTAACCAAGCAGCAAAATGATGTTTGAAATTACCTCAACTAGAATGACAAACTGGCCAATCACGAGCGAGCAAATCGCTTGTTTATCTCATTCGCGGTCACTCAAAATTACGGCCGTCTACAGGCTGCCAAATGTGGCTTGATCCGTGTACAAGCTCGGTTAATAAGGTATTCAAAGTGCTCAAATGTCTTGGCGAAGCTTTTTGACAGGTGGTATTAAATATTGGAAGAGATTGCAGAAATTCCCTGTGATCCTCAAACAGCCTGGAATATATTTGGTAAGTGGACAACTAAATAACTCTTCTTTTTACTAGTTATCAAAGTGTTCTTTCCCACATCAATGCATTCATCCAAATACTTTGGGACTATTCAAGCACTTTGGTCGTTACACACAAGACACATCGCTGGTCAGAACAGTTTACAGGACGATAGTTAACAGCAGTACGGAGCAACGGCCAAATTTATTATTAAGAGTTAGCAGGCATTTCACAGGAGCTGCTGATCTGAGGCATAGTTATCATAATCAGTAAGCAGTCTTATTTATTACCAAGGGCAAAATTTTAATGCAAATCGTTTATTGCGAAAGCCTAAATGTCATCAACACTTCCTTTCGTTTTTGGAAGGTATAAATCTCGTGGTCTCATTCCGCATAATGAAATGCTTCTCAATCTCTATGCAAATTCTTTCCATTATTTCAGTGAATGGACCAGTCTGGGATAAGTTATTATAGGAATCATGCTCATTGTATATTATTCAGAAGTAGTAATCACGCTAAACGATCCAATATCCTGATTACGAGCTAGTATAAACCAGTGATTTCTTTGAGCTCGCTTCCTGATTGTGAGGTAGAGGTTCCAGATCTTCGGTGAGCTTCTGCGTAGTAAGTCCCGACACTCGACTGCTTTAGCTCTGGTAGACTCCAGGAGGAGTGGTGCGGGGATTGGTCGAGATGTGGTTTGTAGTATGCAGTATGTTAGGACTGTATTGCTGCCGTGAATGGAGTTTGACCTAACTCCCGTTGGTCATTCGATGTAGTCATAAAAGCAGAATAGTAATAATAATTATAATAGGTTGTAGTGTAGATAATATAGGTTGAGATAAGTGGAATAATAAAGGTGACCTAAGGAAAAGATAGAGTGAGAGAAGGCAGAATAGGTCGTGGGGATTTAGTTTGTACGCTTATTCATTGACAGTGTGGTTTCAAATTTTATGAGGATAAGCCATTGAGACACAAACCTTGCATTTCTGCATGATGGCGCTGTAGTCACGGCCGCCGGTAAAGCGTTCCAGAGACGGCAAACACGAAGCGAAAAGAAATGTGATCGCACTCGAGTCTTTGGTCTCTGGTGTGCTATCCTTAGCGGGTTACCTCGTGGAAGCCTATAATCGCTTAATGGCAGGATGCTTTTATTTGGGTGGGCCTGGTCATTTAGGATCTTGTAGACGGTGATGAGGTCTCCCCTGTGCCTACGGTAACTAAGTGTGAAAAGTCCTAATTTCTTTAGTCTTTCCTCATATGATTTGTTGCGGAGGCCGATCACCCATTTTGTCGCTCGTCTCTGGACACTTTCTAGAATGTTAGCATCCCTTTTGAGTAGCGGAGGTGCAATGATATTATGCACCTCAAGGTGTGGCCTCACATATGCCTTGTATAGCCTTAAGAACAGTTCGGGAGTGAGATGGTCGCAGATGTTTGTGATTAAATAAGTATGAAATAATACTACGTGGAAGCATGAATGAATGCCGATCCTGTAGCATCATCTCACATTTGACCAGTTCAAAATCACACATCAAACGTACCTAAGCTCTCACTTTAGCTGTAAGGAGAAGACTGCATGTCATTAGCGTCTAGACGAGTGAGACTACCCTGGTAGAAAGTCAATCTATAAGACTTCCAAGTCAACTGAGATCACATTTATTTGTAAGTATGTAGTGAAATTGAACAAGAATGGTGACAGTTACTGGTGTTTACCACTTCAGATGACAATTCATGAGCTCTTACAAAGGTTAAAGCAGTGTACCAATCAGTACACTAGACTTCCTTAGAGCTCCATTCACATCCAGCCACTGACTGTCACAGCATGAGTCGATTGATGGAGTCAAACAGTGTCATCATGTCAACAAAAGTTTGGCGATTTTTGCAACGTTGACTTCATTGGGAGGATCGGTGTCCATATCCGACTCAGACCAGAGCTGAAGTGTGACAGCGGGCCGGTTGAGCTCATCAAAGTCTTCTTCTCGAAATTCCACTTATCGGTCCTGAGAAGTTGCTAAAGTTTTATCTCTTTTTAGGGTTATTTCACTTCCCATAGCTTTTTAGAAATTGTTTCCCTAATAATCCTAAATATTTAACAGGTATTACTCATTGTTTACGTGCTTTCGTGGTTCAGCGGTAGAACGCTGGCCAACTATTCACTTAATCCGAGTTTTTTTCGCCTGGGCGTCGCACTCCTATACCTTGCCTGGTAAAGAGGGGAGGTTGGGCTTAAGGCTAGCGACCCTCAAACTGTATAAAAGAATAACACCTGTGCTGCTAAAACTTCATGTTCCAATGGGAACTCAAAGGAATAAAAAACATTGTTTACGCCTCTAGTTTCAGGTTATCAACACCAATGGTTCTAGAGTGGATTAGTTATCATACCAGGCTTCCTCTGAATATATATGCCAGACAGATAAGTGTTCATTTATCTTAATTAACCCAAACTGCATTTCCTTATCCAACAGTCGGCCACATTTCTCTGCAGCTACTTTTTTCAATTTCTGATTATCCCAGGCCAGCATGTGCGCCGATTGATGCTAGATTGGCACTTATTTAGATGTCCAACGAACACCTAACTCCGATTTAGTCTGTTTATCGATGTTTTTTTTAACAAGTGGTATCTTTGTGTTCATAGCTCGCTTGATATCGGTAGTCTCCAAGTAGAATAACATCGCCTTATGTTTGAGGTTAATGGGGTTGATATACATTTGTCCAAATGGTTGACTTCCGACCACTGGGTCATGGGTTAGTAACCCTCTCCGTCTACATAGGTTTGGATAGGCAGTTATTGTCATTAACTCCCGAACAACGGGTGAGGCGTATTGCCAACTGCATTGATATATTCAGTTGTTTGTCCAGTAACATCTCATTTCATTAAAATTAGCGTTATCTAGGGACAGGATCGTAACAGATGGTCAGCGTTGATGTCGGCAAAGGACTCCACGAACACACTCGACATACCTTGTACTGGCTTAGGCTTCCTGTCTGGGCATTATGTTACCCGCTAAATCTTCTGCTTTTAATAGCAAACTCGAAAGATAAGTCATTCTTTACTTCTTCCTGGCTTACGTCAGCTTTTGTTGGTTATATAAGGGATTCGGCGACTGTTCCTTTATTTTAGTGGCATGACTTCCTCTCAGACAAAGTCTAGTATAAACGAATAGGAAGAAAGAAAGTTGGTAAAATTCATACTCGTATGTAACTAAGCGTTGGCTCAAAATGATGAAACTTACTTCGGGATGAGAAATGAATAACTTCAAAAGATGTATATTACATGTATTGTTAGTATCTATAAATGTTTAAATATGGATCACAAGTTGTAATTTTGCCCAAAATCTTACATCATTGCGTGCGAATATCCGCCGTCAATATAATTATCATAAATTGATGTGTACTACTATGCATAAACTTTTAGCTAGCATCATTGTGTTTTGCACAGTCTTTCGAACTGGGAATGTGTTCACTACATTTTTCCGAACCTTCAGCATTCCTAGTCCACTCGGGCCTGTTGTCGGTAAGCTCCACTTATCCTTTATCTATGTCCCAATACATTGATGAACACCTACTTGCATGACTCATAGGAAATGAACTGAAGAATATTACATTTTTTATTCGAGCAAAGATATTGATACAGATCACGCGACTAAGAATGAATCAGTTTTCTCAACCACTCGATATACCTAGTCACCAACCATAGGTGACTCTACAAAATTCCACTGTCACTGCAATTAGGAATATAAATCCGAAATTGTCTAAGTTCAAAAAGTTAATTGATCCGCTTCAACTCCCAGGACTGTCCGGTAGTTTGGGTGTTCCCATTTGAGAATGGCATTCCACAGTATATAATCGTGGACAAATTTCAGTGTGTCGTTATTTAATGCTATTTTCATCTAATTTTAAATTTAAGCTTTGCTTGTTAATATAATTTTGATAACGCATAACTACATTAATAATCTGGATTTAGTTTCCTATTCACCATTTACTTCATGCATCAACTGCCACTTTCTGTAAATTCATTTCTAATTGGAAAGCTTATTTATTCACTAAAGTGTGTTTGATAGACTTATCAGTGGATGCCTAATCAGAATTAAAGGGGGTTGTCTATTTTAGTATTTGTCTTTTACATCTCAAGATTGTCAGTTTGTGTATAATTGAGAAGACCGAACAGTCTCATACTAAACAGATAATCCTATTAGAATCTTTTGTAATTCTCCTCATTCCATTTTTCTGATTTCAGCTGCAAAGTACCATGACTTTCCGCTAAATCTCTGTCCCATTCATTAATGAGTATGAACAGTGGTACAACTTCACCTCGAATTGCGATTGTGATTCGGTGTGTTACCAGTTAACCAAGATGGCCTTAATTTGTGTGGTTTGAATTGATTCGGTTTTTCTAGTTGATTTAAACCTGGTACACCTTCTATGAACTGGAGACAAAAAGAGCGGAACGGCCATCCGGTGTTTGGATCACTTCTGGCTGATTGGCAAGCACCAATGGTTGGTGTGTTATACAACTACTCCTATAGGCTAATCAGTAGTATGTAACATCATATAAAATGGTCCTAGTCTTTAAGCAGTTGGAAAAAACTACGGGAATGGAATAATAGCATAATGTCTCACTGGAATCATCTTCAATGGTCTATTCGACTGTATCAAGTAAAAACATTTAATGAAATTTACAGTACTGGATGAATATATTTTGCCACATACTATCCACTTAAGACTTACCGTAACATTAATAATAATGATTTGTATGGTGATTTATTTATTAATAATAGTGATTTGCTCACTGATGCAACGACCAGCCAATGTTTTTTATGGAGTTTATAAAAGCCATAACTGGTTTTAAATCTAAATTCGGCAACTGCATCTGACTTTTTTTCAACTGTAGCGGACGACAATAGTCATCCGATAAGAAATGAAAAAGTCAGACAGTGTATACGAATGATTCTTTTTTTTTCTTTTTTCTCCAAAAAACATCCTAGTAACTCTTTTCACCCAATCAATAAGGCCTGTAAACCGAAGCGTAAATCATGGTTGGAAAATCTCTTTGGTAGAAATAAATACAAATCATTGTCCAGTTTGGCTACAAATTGTGCTGACACAATAGTCCCCAAAGAATTTATTGCTGCAGGATGTAACAGTGCTGTATGGGGTGCAGAAATTCGTAAGCAGTATCAAAGTGGAAATGGTAATTACATTTTTGATAGAATTTGTTGCAAATAAATGGTGGAGATGTCTCTCATTAGCCTGAGCACTTGACTTACGGTCAGTAGGTCCTGAGTTGGAGTCACACTCCATCTGGTTCAACCTGAGCAACTGGGTGGTATCACCAGTCGTCCACTATACCTTTCCCATTCTGTTGTAAATAGTACGTCCAAGTAAATCGGAGAGATATTATAAAAGCTAATTTTTTTATTTTAAGACAAGAGAGATGGTTTTTTTCGTCGATTTGCAACTTATTTCTTGTGACAGTCGACATTCAACTGTTGAGTGACGTGTTAAATGCCTGTTGCACTTGCAGAGGCTTGGACGATATGAAAGCATTATTAAACACCACTAGCTGTCATGAAAGTCTACAGCCTGTTGGAAAAGTTTTTCGTGACGCTTCTCTAATTCTGTGAACCGTATGAAAGAATTAGAATCGAAAATTCGGGAATTCCTCATCCTGCTAAATGCCGTAGATCTCCACACCGACTTCAGAAGGGTGAACGCCTGATTTCCTATCGGATCCCGGTGAGGTTTGACATCAGCCGTGTACTGCCTTGTATATTCACTTTCTTGATATCATGTTGAGGTAGAGTCTATCCGAGTTCTAGTGCATCCATCAGGTAAAACCCACATCTTTTTGTGGATACTCTTGTATTTGAATATGTAGCCTCCAATCACCAAGTCATTAAAAGCAAAGAAGTTTGCAAATACTTCTCTGTTCTGCATTTCACCGAAAGTCTCAACTCATGATGAGTTCTCTTCTTGTGCTGTCTGCTCTCAGTTTGACTGGGATTCATATCACCCACTGGTATTTTTATGTCTCCATCTGGGGCCTTGTCCACTGCTTTTTGCACTTGTTTCTGGAAGTCCTCCTGTACTGGGTTTGTGTTGTTTATAGGAAGGTGGTATTCTGTAATTGTAACTTTCCCAACCGTTTGAGTTTGATCTCGCTGTCACGATTGCGGAGATTTTCCCCCATTGCATGAGAACCTTCTTTGCTTTTAGTGTCTCGTGATGGCTTCACCTTTAATGTCCTTGCGGTTGTCTTAATGATCATTGACCCTCCCACTAACAGTCTGAGGATTCTACTTTTATACCATCTGCTCTTAGATTTCCAACATTTCTGTATCATCTCTTCACCTTTCTGGTGCAATGTGAACAGCCTTCCCATATTTAAGGAATCAATTGTGTAAGTCTCGATTCGATACATTCATCATCATTGTATCTTAACAATACTCTAGGCTTGAGTGTATTTGAGGTATTATTTTCAAATGTATTCACAAGTAAACTAGCATCTATTGGTGGAACTGCTGAACACATGATAACACCATTTATTTGTTTATATAGATTTCATTTTAATGTAAAATAGTTAGCATCCAGACAGAATTTTAAGACTTTAATGTTCTCAATGATGTTCAGTGTATATAAAATAAGCAGAGAATTCTTAAGTTCTAGTCTAATATTACTTTGATAAAGTTATTTGCAGCAAATAACAAAACTTCAGTGAAACAAAGTCGTTTCGTTTTTCCATTCTTTGGAAAATACAGAAACTTTTATAAAAATGTATAAAAAATGATGACGGGAAACTCGCGTTTAAAAACTATCATTTAAATGACCGCATTTTCGTTTACTACTACGAAATAATGAAGCTAACTTAATACTTACCAATAATCACACACTCACAAATGTTATTTGATTCACCTAATCGAATTATAATTTTACCGTTAAACTGATTATTTCGATAAGTTTTCGTTACTTTTATGTCATACACTCGTATGCGTGATTTGTGTACTTGCACATATTCCTCAGCTCAACTAATACGATTAAAAGTTTGTTTCCCAGCAGTTAGATCAACCAGCTTACAGAACACAGTAAGATAACTCCTGAATTATAGTTAAAATCTAATCGTGTGTGTTGAAACCTGCCAACTGTTGCTTTTTATTTAAAGAAAAGGGTCTCTCTAAGCATATTGGTTTTGTTCTTAGCTAAACACTTGTAATACTCCAGGTAAAACCAGCTAAACATAGTCAGTGATAAATTCTACAATCATAGGTAAACGTCATAGAGCTTTCTATTATGGACAAATTTTATTTTGGTAGTCACAGTCTTATATAGTTTATTCATTTATTTAAACGCAAAAAAACCTGGTACAATATAGCATCAAGAAGATGCGCCACACAATAATAATAAAACAACATAGATTAAAAGTAAAAATATAAGTAGACAATATATAAGAAAGAGAAAGTACTTCATCTGGGAGGAAAACAGTCATACTTATCAAGTTCAAACAGTATTCATCAACTATTATCGGAAAGGGAAGAAAGAAGGAAACTACAACACGTTCGCCATTGATTACGATTCTCGACCATATCCAATAACATTTCGAGCCATCGATTCGAGCTATCTCTCGGACTCCAACCAGGGAGAAGTGACACGCCAACCGATGCTAACCTAGAACAAATATCCTCCATCTAACGACGCCACGTCATGGACTGACCATCTCTCCGCTCTTTCCATCCCGTCCCAGGACTAGCGAACAGAGATCTTTGCGACAGCCTCTGGGACGACATTCGCAGCACATGTGCAAGCCACTGAAGCCGGTGTTTTCAGACGATGACATTCAATGAATGGTGATCTCCACTATGTTCAAACACACGCCACCGGACCTCAGAATTACTCACGTGATGATGCCATCGAACGCAAATAATCCTACGGAGACAGCAATGGTCGAATACACAGAGTCACCGCACATCCTCAGCTCGGAGAGGTCAGGTTTCACAGGCGTAGAGTAAGACAGCCCTCACCTCACCGAACCATTGCATACCCGACCTCTGACAGCCAGGCTAACGTCACGACGGCGTCAGAGGTGATTCAAGTTAACGTATGCCACCCTAGCTATCGTAGTACGGTTGGAAATCTCATCCATCACCCTTCCACCAGCACTCGCACAACTACCCAAATACTAAAACTCATCAACAACTTCAAGCGATTTACCTGTGAGAGTGAGTGCAGGTACAGGTCCCTGTCAGTCTTATAACAGTACTTTGCACTTGGACGGCACAAATCACAGGCCATACTTACTGTTATACATTAATATTTACTGATGACGTTTCGAGAGCAATTAACTGTTCATAATCACATCATCTCACATTGATATGATATGTAACTCTATCAGAATAAAATTTATCCATAATGGAATTTTACTCTATCACAGTGTCCAAGTTATATCCTTATATCAGTTGTATAACTTTAATTGTGTTATTTGTTTGTGCTATAAACTTCAAATAGTTATCGAGGATACTAGCACTGTTACTTAATAGCATATCTTCATCCTTTTACAGCATAAGTTTTGTCTATTAGATGTGGCGTTCTTAGTGGAAGTTCGTATTCTTCTACATATTTATTTATTTATTAATGGTTTTTCTAAATAACTTTTAGTATCACTTCTCACAAAACATTTTTTGTTTATTTTCATATAACATCAGAAACTATTGATGAATTAGCTGTCAAGGTGTTATATAACTACTATGTGAATTCGTCGTGTTACGGAAAAGCGAACACAAAACTTGAGAGTGGTGATAATAGTGATACAGTGAAAAATATTCCTGAAAATTGGATATTGCTTCATCGTCAAATTCAAAGGGAATGCGAACTTCGACCCCAAACAAATCATCCCAATATTGTTCCAATAGTTGGACATTTTGTCGATCGTGCACCTCAGCTTGAAGTGAACCGGGAATCTGTTGGTAAGAGTTCTGATGAACTTGAAAAGTATACCTGTCTGACTGAGCTCCACGAATCTAAATGTTCGCAGGTTTCTGGAAATGTTAGCCGGTCAGTGAATTCATCTAGCACTCCAATTTCGTGCTGGCCAGGAGCAGAATCCTTTCCTGAAGCATTTGCTGGTCGACCCTACACATTCTACATGTTAATGCCAAAGTAAGTCGTTAATATATACTTGATGAATAATTCCAGCCGAGTTAAATATTTAGGCTTATTAGGGAAACAATTTCTAAAAAGCTATGGGAAGTGAAATAACCCTAAAAAGAGATAAAACTTTAGCAACTTCTCAGGACCGATAAGTGGAATTTCGAGAAGAAGACTTTGATGAGCTCAACCGGCCCGCTGTCACACTTCAGCTCTGGTCTGAGTCGGATATGGACACCGATCCTCCCAATGAAGTCAACGTTGCAAAAATCGCCAAACTTTTGTTGACATGATGACACTGTTTGACTCCATCAATCGACTCATGCTGTGACAGTCAGTGGCTGGATGTGAATGGAGCTCTAAGGAAGTCTAGTGTACTGATTGGTACACTGCTTTAACCTTTGTAAGAGCTCATGAATTGTCATCTGAAGTGGTAAACACCAGTAACTGTCACCATTCTTGTTCAATTTCACTACATACTTACAAATAAATGTGATCTCAGTTGACTTGGAAGTCTCATAGATTGACTTTCTACCAGGGTAGTCTCACTCGTCTAGACGCTAATGACATGCAGTCTTCTCCTTACAGCTAAAGTGAGAGCTTAGGTACGTTTGATGTGTGATTTTGAACTGGTCAAATGTGAGATGATGCTACAGGATCGGCCTGCATTGATTCCTAGTTTAAGAATAAGGAGTAGAGTGATCGAAAACATCGACCTATTTACGATGGTCAGCACTAATAAGTGAGTTGATTACGCGATCTCGACACAGATACAAAAGGCTCGTCTAGTATATGCCACCCTGCTATAGCCTAACTGTCGGCTAGCCAGACTCACGATATTGTCGGTGAGGAGAATTACGTACGTCATTCCCTCACCAGTACTATGCACGTAGAGTAAGCAAACCGCAAGTCATACTGACAAACGCTAGTTGCCAACTGATCCTGGTGAGATTTGGGTAGCACTGGTTGAGAACGGTGTTTGTAGGCGATGAATGTGTGCTGTCACTTGGCTTAAGGTGTTTTATTTAGGGCCTTCGGGTTGCTGATTGACTTCTCAGTAACATTGCGCTTTAACAAACATTTGTAATCGGTAAGAACTAAGTACTGTCAGCATGCAATACGTGCGTTGGTGTTGTAACGAATTAAAGAGACCGAAGACGTGATTGATTTATTTTCTAGCTGGACGAAAACCAGCCTCCTGTAGATAGGTAAGTATTTACGCCACTGGCAACAGACTACGTCGGAGCTTCATTCTTCATTGATAGAACATTCCATTTTTTGAGACATTTCAAATGATTAAAAATGCCCATTAAATTTTTTGAAAAGAATGATTGCTGAACAAAGAATATTCTTTTCGATAACTTCATGATCAGGTTCTACAGTTATGATAACATGATAGTTAATAAATTGGAGTTATTTAACAACATTAGTGTTTAAATAACATTGCATCAATAATATCAGTAGATTACAGTTCGATAACATCAACATAACAATACACTGAATATCAGAAAAATTAGGAAAGATAATAATACGAATTCATGAATTTATTGTCTCCACTGAAGACCAAGACAGTAGTAGTGGTTGAACTTGCGTCTTTTGCGCACAAAGCACTGCTTGTTTCAGGCGAATCACAATAGTCTCTGCTGCTTGGAGTATGCGATACCTGGGTGTTTTGGCAATTTGGGTGGTAAACGGTGGATGATAAAGAAGGATTGTTCAATGCTGGCTTTATGGCCGGTTTGAACCAAGTGGTTTAATATCGAACTGGTACCTCTTGATATTAGGGCTGTCTTCGATTCGTTGGACAGAACTGGACTATGGAACCGTCTGTTAGAGAGGGTTGTACCTGAGAAGTTTGTTAACATCGTGAAAGCTCAATACAGAAATACTTGAGGTAGAGTGAGCTCATACAACCAGCTATCATCACTGTTCCCACCCAGCAGTGGAGTTAGACAGGGTTGTCCAGTCTCCCCAATTGTGTTTAATTTTGCCATCGATGACATTCTGGATTCAGGGTGAAGGTGGTTCCCTGGAGAGAGACTTGTCAACCTCGAGTATGCAGACTGCACAAATCGAACTTAATCAGTTGGCGGTCAGTGCCTGTAAGTATGGCCTGTGATTTGTGCCGTCCAAGTGCAAAGTACTGTTACAAGATTGGCAGGGACCTGTACCTGCATTCACTCTCACAGGTGAATCGCTTGAAGTTGTTGATGAGTTTTAGTATTTGGGTAGCTGTGCGAGTGCTGGTGGAAGGGTGATGGATGAGATTTCCAACCGTACTACGATAGCTAGGGTGGCATACGTTAACTTGAATCACCTCTGACGCCGTCGTGACGTTAGCCTGGCTGTCAGAGGTCGGGTATGCAATGGTTCGGTGAGGTGAGGGCTGTCTTACTCTACGCCTGTGAAACCTGACCTCTCCGAGCTGAGGATGTGCGGTGACTCTGTGTATTCGACCATTGCTGTCTCCGTAGGATTATTTGCGTTCGATGGCATCATCACGTGAGTAATTCTGAGGTCCGGTGGCGTGTGTTTGAACATAGTGGAGATCACCATTCATTGAATGTCATCGTCTGAAAACACCGGCTTCAGTGGCTTGCACATGTGCTGCGAATGTCGTCCCAGAGGCTGTCGCAAAGATCTCTGTTCGCTAGTCCTGGGACGGGATGGAAAGAGCGGAGAGATGGTCAGTCCATGACGTGGCGTCGTTAGATGGAGGATATTTGTTCTAGGTTAGCATCGGTTGGCGTGTCACTTCTCCCTGGTTGGAGTCCGAGAGATAGCTCGAATCGATGGCTCGAAATGTTATTGGATATGGTCGAGAATCGTAATCAATGGCGAACGTGTTGTAGTTTCCTTCTTTCTTCCCTTTCCGATAATAGTTGATGAATACTGTTTGAACTTGATAAGTATGACTGTTTTCCTCCCAGATGAAGTACTTTCTCTTTCTTATATATTGTCTACTTATATTTTTACTTTTAATCTATGTTGTTTTATTATTATTGTGTGGCGCATCTTCTTGATGCTATATTGTACCAGGTTTTTTGCGTTTAAATAATAAACTCTTTTTTACCATGTCTCGTACTGCTGGGTATTCAGATGAGTTGGAACATTTGACTATTGCCAGATGTAACTGCTGTTTTTGTCCCCATGGTCTGGGTCACAATACCTCAAAGTCCATACTCTGTTTTATATTATGTTTAAGATTGTCGCTCAGGTAATTGCAGTCAATATCCCCCAGAATCGACCGACAGACAGGTACCTGATAGAAACCTGGCTGTTACTAGCGAAGCGTTTTCGTAAGCCTTAACTGGCCTTACTCGCCATTTTCATAGCTCCTTGTTAGTGTATCTAATGGTCGTCCTGTCAGGTTAGTAGCTAGTCTTCATTGTACCTCGGTGTGATATTTGGCTTCAGTAAGCCAACCGTCTAGGTTTTGTGAACCTGTTAAAGAAAAAATTTCATGTTTACTGCTACTGCGTCCGGCTATAATTAATTTCGCTGAGGACCTCTACAAACATACGTATCCGCGAGTATATGGAATAATATGCTAACTGGTGTTTAATTTCCCACAGATCGGTGCCAGTTTAATTTGTTGCTATTTGGAAAAGGATAAATGAAGGTACAGAAGAAAGATATAAAGAAGCTGCGGCGGACAAATATCAACAGTAAACAGAAAAATCAGGTAACGAATACCATAATCTCAAAGGAGTAAGTACCTCCGAAGTCATGCGTCAAACTTAGCAAGTTGTTATTTTTTATTTCGAGATAAGTTGAAATGTCAAGTTGTCTGATGGAACCGATAATGGTGATCGCTTGGTAAAGTTGTTATCAGATAGTTACCTGTTTTCGTAAAGCTTAAATTTAAGACAAAGAGTGACATCTACCGTGATTGCTGCACGCGACACAGCAGTTGATTCAGATGGAACAAAAGACTCAGTTGTTTTTAAAGAGATCTACCGAAAGAATCTAGTCTATTGTAAAATATGTACTTCGGTAGCATCCGAATATATATATATATATATATATATATATATATATATATATATATATATATATATATATATATGTCTTCATGAATGCAAGAAAAAAAGATCGAAAGCTTTTTCCATAATCAGTTGTGTAGAGAAGATATTATTACCACCTAGTGGTGTGCTGCATAGACGTTGATTTCTTCTCGGAGCACTTGAAAGAAAACAAAAACATTTGCGTTGCCGTGACTGTAGAGTTTAGGATGCAGCTACTTTTGAGGCAGATCAAGAATCCATCGATCACAGAGTCTGTGATCTTTTCAAACATTCTTTTGAGGGAATAAAGGTGTTATCAGCTGCGAATACTTCACTATTTTCGGGCTTCATGCGTAGCGCTTTGATTATGAAATTATTTAAAGAAATGCTTCATTTGATTTCAACTGACTATATGATAACATGCATTTTGACTGTTTACAGCTATGGAATATTATAGACATAAATGACTACTATCGAAAAATCGTTAAGTAGTGGCTGCTGTGGTGGCTTGAATTCAGTTTACTTATTTGAACTATTTTATTAGATGGTTGGAGGAAATCGACAAGAAGCCTTGGATCTAGGTTTCGTGCTAGTTGGCACTCACCAGTCAGCAAGGCGTATCTGCAACCTTGAAGGGACTCATGTCCCTTCTGAGATTTGAACCCGCGTCACCCAGTGCTGGAGTCAGAGACGTTACCACTAAGCTATTCGGGCTCGCCATTGACCTCCTGTAGGACTGTAGTGGATATATATATATATTGGATATATTCAGCCTTGGACCTAGGTTCAACCTAGGCTTCCTGTCGATTGCCTCCAACCATTTAATACCATCAAATCAATGTACACCGTGATGGTGAGCTACCTACAATGGTGGCCACATTACAACCTGACTGATAGAATTCAGTCTGCACCAATCAGAGAACTAGACACATCACACTAGTTACTAGTGTCAAATCAAGAAACCATTTTATTTCACATCGTTTATCTCTTTGACCATTTCTCTCTGTTTAAAGATTCGAAGCTACTTTAGATGATCTATTACAAGGAAGCATTAAATTTAATTTTCAAAATTCATATACTGAAATTATGCGTAATAAAACTACTAAGTATGGACGGAGTGCATGTAGAGATACCAGTTCAGCGCAATTGAGTCAGTATATAATTCCAAATACTGCCAACTCTGTGATATCTTCTAAGTCTGATAATGTCGACATAGATTCTCAAATCGTCACAGATGATGTATATATCAAGCATGCTGAGACGTATCTTTCTGTTGATGATATTGTAACCATTCTCGTTCAAATATTCGAAGCTGTCGCTGAACTTGAAGCTCATGGAATAGCTCATCGAGATATTAAACCCAATAATATACTAATACGTCAACGTGTTCCATTTGAAAGTGATCAAATTTCTGGTTTGAAGTCTACAAGATTAACTTTTGAATCTACTCAAGATCCATCCTTAAGATGGTTGAATGGTGAGTGATATGTGTGATCTATATACAAACTTATATTTGTTTATCCCACTAAGTCTTTCGTCATGAAATTATGAGACTATGTATCAGAATAAATTGATATGATTATAAGCAATAATTTATGCTGATTGTTAATCCTGCATCATTATGTGATGTTTAAAATAAACTTATCTATTATGGATTTTGTGTATCAGGCACTTAGGGGGATTTTTTCATTCCAAAACAGGTGAGAGTAATGATTAATGATATTATTTATTATACCGTATGGGATATAAGGGCTTCAGCAGGACTCCTCTCTTTCGCTGTGTTCTTTGGAGTTTTTTTTATAAGAACTGACGTGACATCAATGTTGTTCGCTTTACTGAGTTCGATTGAGTACAGCGGATTTCCATACTGATTTCAGAGTAGTTGAGGTCTATCTTGCTTTTCCAATCCCAGCTTTGACATCCCCGTCCGTGCCACTTGTAGTTGAAACAGTGCTGTGCCTAGATAAGTGAAAGAGGTGACTTCCCTTAGATTTATTCCGGTGGTGATGATTGGTGCTTGTTGTTGTTGTTATTGTTGACTAGGTACCTGCATCACCCATGTCTTCTCTATGTTTACTTGAAGTCCTGTCTTCGCTGCCAGTCTTTTCTAAAAATTTGTTGATTTTCAACTATAGACCCTTGAGTATGTGTTGTTACATCAAGCATAAGTCGTCGTATGTGAAGTTCAGATCTTCTAGAGTCTTTTCGTCAGCGTTATGTATTTCTGTCTTCATGCTCCTCATTACCTGCAACATCATCGATGATATTAGGTCATAACAATTGTTTATAATTTTTCTTCCCTCACAATTCATCCATTTTTCTCGAAATTTCTATCCTTCCTTTTGATAGGGAAATTGAGAGTTTAGTTTAACAGGAAGATAGATAGTCACACGATAAGTAACCTAAAATGACTGATTCACATTTGTCTCTTGATCCATATAGGTTAGGCGAACAAGTACAGTACAGAGCTCTTTAAAGTCTTTATTAAGTTGTTTTTTTTTCAACCACAGTGAAGGATGGTTACGAGTACGTAAGATTAAATCCCTAGAATAATGAGTAATGTAGACGACTTGATTTGAACAGTCTCTTTGCATTAAATGTTTCTTGGACGGATGTAAGACTTTAAACTTCATATTCTTCCCAAACTTAGGCATATTTCAGAATTCGGTATATAACCCTGAAAGCTGTGTTGACATCGATACGATGTCCAGTATCGACCAAGTGTGTGCATTTAATTTCTCCCCTGCTGAACCAAGGTGGTAAGTGTTCTTGAACCCGTAGACGAACCTGCCTAGTCGTGCGCCCTATATAACTTGAACCACAGGAACAGTTGAAATGGTATATGCATGAAGAAGAGCTAAGGTTAGGTAAGACATCTTTGAGTTGCTGGGTGAACACTGGACGGCTAGTGGAAGGATAGACACAGACGTGCAGAGTAGAAAGTTTTCTTTATCGCCCTGGTTAAATGTTGGGATAGAATCTCCGCAGGAGTATCTCCCTTGAATTGGAGACGTAAAAACAAAGGCTTTTTCTCCACAGTTGCCAATTCATGTTTACGACTATTGTAACCTATGTTGGCTTTAATGAATTTCTCTGGATATCGATGTCAACACCGAATTCTGAAGTCGTTATCATGTACAGTTCGTTTAAAGCATACTTGATTGTCATAGACTATGTTTCACAGGATCAGGCAGGATAGCCTTATAATTAAGATTATGGATAGATAGTAAGTGCCTCCTCTTTCCTTTCTCAAAAACCTTCTTGATTTTCTCAGGGTTTTTTTTTAGCATTTGACTATGGAACTTAAGATCTCAAACACTAACTACTTGGACTGTTTCTTCTGCGCTTATAACAGGAAGATTTGTTTTATTTCTTACATGCTATAGTAGTTAACCTTCGGGATCATTTTCATAAGGAGACGACTCTAGATGTGGATTTCGAGGATGTTATATGTTTAATGTCACAAAAACTCGAAGACTTTTGCAGGTGAAGAAGCAGTGAATAATAGACTCTACTCTAGGTGAACACGGAGAAGACGGTGGTGATAAAGATAACCAAGCAACAACAACAACAACCAGCACCAATCACTGTCAACAGGATTAACTTGAAAGAGAAGTTACTTCCTTCATTTATCTAGGAAGCACGGTTTCAACCACAGGCTATCGGAACGTATGAAGATGTCAAGGCCAGATACAATTGGAAAGGCAAAATACACCTTCAATCTGAAATCGGGGTTTGGAAGTCTTCTACACTCAGTCAGCAGCTTAAAACACGAGATTCGGATTTTCAACAACAATGTTAAATCAGTTCTTCTGTATGGGTCAGAAACTTACACTGTATGTCACTGTATGCATTTCCAATAGCCAGGTGCGCACTTTTTTCTATTACTAACTGCCTACGCTAGCTCCATATTAAAGACAGAATGACCAGAAAGAATTAGCAGAATGAGCAGAAACTATAAACCTATCGCTCAAACAAATATGTAAGGGAAAGTGGAGATGGATAAGACACACGTTGAGGAGACTTGAATGACATCGCGTGCCAGGCCCTTGAGTGGGACATCCGAGAGTGACATGGAGGAGATCGGGCGAGGAGGGCATGCGTAACACACTCTAACCATCTCAATTGGTGTAACTTCACAACCTCGTCGATTGATTTTCCCTCTTTTACCAGCACTTAGACGCCTCCGCTCAATATTACTCACTGTACTACACCACATAACACAGGAGATAGAATGCAGACACCCATGAACAAATGTAGCTAGGTTTTTCGTTTCTTCCACTTTCGATGGCTATCTCTCACAGCCATAAAGGAGGACGGAGCAAAACTTCTGAGAAGTACACACGCCCTTCGGTCGACAGCCAACCGGATATCATATGTACGCCGCAAATGGCGTAAGGTGACAGTTCCAAACGAGCCTTTGGTAGTTGTGCTGAGATTTCTTCAGTCATCAACCAGCTCACACTGATACAACTCCCCAAATAAGTGAATTGGTCAACACGTTCCACAACTTCACTCTCTCTCTTTAGGCTAGGAGTCGATTTAGCTCAGTCCTGTAGTATCACCTTACATTTGACAGGAGCGAATCGCTTGCCAAGCATCCGAAGATTGCTGCTCGAGGTTTTCAGAAGACTACATTATGTCAGCGTCCTCACATAGAAGGGTTACATCTGCATATTTTGAGTCGACGAGATTATTGCTTGGTATCAAGTCGGTCCTTGAGTCTCTGAAGTTAGTTAGCGTTGAGTCCATTATTACGATATCTATAATGAAATTAAACAGAAATAGGGATAGTGGGCATCCCTGACAGACAGCGCTGGTTGTCACCACTTCAGGCAACAACACGCCGTAAGCTCTCTCCTGGCTACCTGAGTTCGAGTAGAGTACCTTGATTTTCTCGACATCCTCTTCACAGTCAAGCGTCTCCATAGCACCTCTTGATCGACTGAATCGAATGTCGCTCTCAGGTCAAAAAATATGACGCTTGTTGGATGCCGGTAAATATGTCTATGCTCCAGAATCTGTCGAGTGGTGGAGATATAATCAATACATCCTCTTCTTAATCTAATGTCTGTTTCTCTCGAAATCCAAACAGAAGTAAAACAGCCTGATTTAAATTATGAGTATGGTGGGTTATACAAATATATATACTTTGAAAATTGTGAATTCTATCTTCAGTGTGACTAAAGACTGAACTGTAAGATGACTAATTGACAATTCTGTCTTTCGGTTTTTATCAATCTGTTTTCTCTTTGTGTAGGTGCCCACTACTTCAGGTTGGTTTCATGCACCTGTTAATCTGTTATTTTTCGGAATTGTCTGCTTAAAGTTATATATCCAGTCGAATACAGTGAATGTTGATTATTGAAGTTTCCCATCCATCATTCACTGTTCATAGTCACTCCTCGGGTGCTATTTAGTGGCAACAATGACTTCTCCGCCAGATGATATCACTAAGTTTACTAACATCATTTTCAGTTGTATAATGACGTCCTTGTAACATATCAAAGGTCAATAAGGAAATATATTATTGTTATTCGTAAGGATTTCCGTCCTACTTTGTCCAGAAAGCTGCAATCAATAGTTTATTGTGTGTATTTATAGAATTTAAATCATATGTTTATTGCTTTAACTATGTTCTCTTTAGTATTGTTTTTATTATTTGTCTGTAGATAAAGAAGTGGAAATGACTAATTCACATTTATGTGTGGCGTTAACTGACTTTGGATGTGCTATTCGTACAAACCAGTCTACTAGTGAAGCTGCATCATCATTTAATCAGTCGAAATTGAAAACTGCTCTCACTAATTTAATCGGTGTTCTTAGTGATGATGATAATGATAATGCATACATCAATCATAGTGGAAATACAGCTCTTTTAGCTCCAGAAATTGCATGTATTTATCGTAATTTACCCATTGATTATTCTCATGACCGGAATATAACCGGTCAAGATTATGCGCGGTCAGATTTATGGGCAGCAGCAACACTAATATATCCGCTTTTTGGAATGTCGAACCCTTTTGTTGATGGTGTAAGTACTTTTGTCGATTTAATATGCCTTATTTTCAGTTATGCGTTAAAGTTTCTGTAGCAATTTGGTTAAGTTTCGGGGGTGGAGTTGCTAGCACCACGCTCCAACCGTCCGTCTTTATCCGGGCTTGGGACCGGCTAGTAATCTAGGCGAGGTGAACATAGACAAGAGAGAGGTTATGAAAATAACCAACCAACAACAACAGCAGCAACATCCAGCGTCATTCACCATCAACGGGAGGGATTTGAAAGAGGTTGCTTCATTCACTTATCTAGGGAGCATTTTCTCAGCTACAGGCAGTTGGAACGGACGAGGATGTCAAATCGAGCGAGAATCGGGAAGGCGAGAAACACATTTATCAACCTGAAACCAATCTGGTAATCTCCATCACTCAGCCAGCATCAACAACAAACTTCGGATCTTCTATACAAACGTCAAGTCAGTTCTTCTATACGGATCAGAAACTTGTCGGGTCACAAAGAATATTTCCCAAAGCCTGTTGCAGACCTTTATCAACAACTTTCTTCGCTCTATACTGAGGATCAGATGGCCGGGCCCAAAGAATCACCGACAAGAAACTATGGGAACAAAGAAATAAAACAAGAAACAATCGCCCAACAAATATTCAGGAGAAAGTGGAGATGGCTTGGACACCCGTTGAGCAGGCCGCCGCTGGGTGACGTCGCGCGCGCGTCAGGCCATTGCTTGAGTGGGACGTCCAGGGGTGACATAGAGATTGTGTGAAGAGGAGTTGAAACATAGATGCAGTTGAAAAGTACAGCAGAAGACAGAAGGGAGTGGAGACGTGCAGTTGAAGCCCTATGTTCCACTAGGAACCCAAGGGAATAATAATAATTTTCAATTATGTATGAATTCCACAACATAAGTATAGAAACAAACATCAACACATAGTCCGTCACTTTCGTTTTCATCCATACCTTAAATTATAGGAGAAAGAGACGAGACGAGAATACTTTCAACTTCGTATGGCAAAGGTGAACAGGGATAAAGGCAATGTAACAATAAGTTATCTATCGAAGAATACTTCTGTCATTGATTTCAAATGTTCTGAGATTTTAACCAATGAAGATAAGTTAATTAACGATAATTACCAACAAACTGAAGATATTCTACGCATATAACTATGCACCGTCTTCCCTTATCGACTAAAAGAACTGGAATAGGATTGAGTCAAAAAGATTAAAAAATTAGTCATACCGAAGTCACTGAGTGCTTATTTGTTTTCGCACCAAGTGTTCATGTTTCTTTTACGTTTTTGTTAACCTTTAACGGAGGTTCTGTAATGTAGATAATCTATCTCTACCGTTCCAATTGGAATTTACCAATTATCTACTGTTTATTTTAGTGTATATCTTGCATATAGGAGTTTGATAAAATATGCTGTCAAGATTGGAGAAAAGTTAGGCAGAAGTTAGAATTCAAGGACCATTGGATCGGGTCCCAGTGGCTCAATGGTCTACAGACTCGCCTTGTAACCAGAAAGTCCTGGGTTCGGACCCCGGTGGGTGCGTACCGATGAAGAGTCCCAAACTAAAACGAAGCAGCTGTCCAGTACTCCCAGGTTTTCCACTGGTTCTCTAACTGATGTCAGCTCATGTTGAAATCCTCCATGCAGTCAAAAAATTTTATGTCAAGACGGAAATATATGTTAAGAACAACTGATGCACGGTTGTTGGTGGTTTCTACAGATAATATGTATACTTAATCCTATGGTGAATTTTAGTATGGTAATTACTAAAAGCTGCAGACTGATCAGATCAAGATATCTATGATGTCAGTCGTGTCAGCAGTCAGAAATTAAGTTCCTGCGTAAAAATAATGCAAAGATATTAACATATCGACTGCTCTTTTATTATTTTTCTCTAAAATCACAATTTTCAACCAACCATTACTTCATTTTTTGGCGGATTATTGAATTTTTCTCCAGTCATAGGAACGCTTATTCCAGTTTTTATGTCTCCAAACAATGAGAGTTGTTGCCCAATAATTAAGGTAAGATACTATACACACATTTGATTTGATAGGTTATGATCTTTATGACACTTACCTAATATTTCTTTAGTGTTTAATCTCATTCAACATTCTCTTACTTATTCCAGACACTTTCATCTGTTGATTATTCTGAAGACGCTTTACCCCAACTTCCACCTGAGGCTCCGAAAATCATGACATGGATTTTGCACAGGTGTCTGAAACGTGATCCATCTAAAAGGCCTAGAGCTGATGAGATTGCAGACATTCTTCATGTTTGGTGTTTAGTACGACATCTTCATCGTAGACAAAAAGCCAGCATTTTAAGAAACTTACATCAGACAAGTAGTAAGAGTGTAAGTTGTAATTTATTATGGATAATTTACTTCGTGTTAAATTTCAGATTTCAGTTAAATGGTTCCTGTACAAATTTGCTCTTTCTGAGACAAGTGACATTATAACTTTAAGACTAAGTTTGTGCGATAAAATCATTGAAAAGTGATTATGGCTTGCTGACAGTTATACAAATTTTGCTTGAAATTTTTTTTTGGGATTGCAAGCTCTACGTGCATTCTTATTTGGTTGAGGGTGCAATATAAACTGGCTCGAACAAGCGAAGTCTTCCTGATTACTCACCCATTTCTACATCAATTTCAATGAAGTCGACAATGAATACGTTATCCTCTAGGTCAAACAACCACCTAAGATTATAAAGGTATGCGGCTTTCAGTATGATTTCTGCACAGTCTATTCAGAGATTCCACTACATGCAAACCACGTAACACCAAACAAGTAATTAAAGCCGTCTAAAATCATCCACAGGACGAACTGTTTCACAGCACTGTCCACACTTACTAGGCATTTTGTTATCTTCCATCATGAAATAATTTTAATGATAAAGATATACAATGATCCTGTATAATTTAGTGATTATATTTCGCGCACAATTTATTGCTCATCATCATATCAAGGAGCTCACATAACTTCCAAACCTTGCTTATCCCTTCATTTTATTGGTTGTGATACTTTTCATATCCGTCGTTTTGGTGTATCGTCCCTAGTGAATGTGTTAGGTGCGAATTCGATGAACAAAGATTCAGCGATCAAACTCTCTCTACACCTACCTATATCACTCTCTGGAACAACTACAAAACCTTTAGATACTATGCTAGTCAACATAATCTCATTATGATTATCACGGGAAGACTTTTCTGCCTTTTTATGAACTGGGATAACCAATGATTTACACCAGTTGAACAGGACTATCTGACATTCCTACACACTGCCTAATATTTTAGTTGACCAACTCAATAGTTCATCATTACCATCCTTTTGAACATATCTGGAGTCATATTGTAACGACAGAAGACATGGGCCAGGCAACAGATCGTTTATTGAGAAAATCAACAGATATTTAAAGAATTTTATGTACATTATTATTCGTTATTGTTAGCAGAGAAGCAACATTTTCTGATTAGTTGTTTCCCTGCTGAAGGTTATTCTGTCATCTCTTTGTTGCCGTTTGTTAGACAGTCCGTTGATATATCTGCTAATCGTATCCGCCTACGCTTAGTCTGCTGTGATTGGTTGTTGAGTTCCTCAAGGTTAGGCTTTCTTCTTGTTTTTTCTCATGACCAAGATTTGGGACGTAAACATTGACGTGAATCGCTGTCTACCAGTTTTGGCAAGCAGACAGCTCTCATCACAATATTATCAGGTGCCCTGCTTTGTCTCGTTTCACATTAGAAATAAGTTCGGTTACATTTGGCCGATCGATCTCTACGTCCCACTCGCATAGATGTAACGTGATATAATTCTACGAGTTGTTTCTCTGATACTCTTCGAGTTTTATTGTTGTTTCTCTGAGAGAAGTGACAGCATTGTACATTTGATGGATTAAGATGTGACAATTTCTTTTTTAAGGCTTTTATGCTCTATTCTCAGTGCAGGTATTTTCCTACGCACACTGAGAAAACGTAGTGAAATCCATAACAGTTAGTTGATGCCACTTAGGGAGATGTAAACTGCCTGGCTGGGGTCTTCGCGATACTCAGAACCAATATCTAGAGACAATTAGTGATATGGCTCAAAGTCGTTCTCAATCACAGCGGAAATGTATTCACCCTTTGTGACTTGTCACATGCAATAATGCTCCAATCTTCTTCCATATTACCATTCTTCTCCCCTCATACTTCTATGCATTATCTCCCTTTTCAAGCTCTCTTCTCTTGCTTTGTCTACTTCGTGGAGTGTGGCAACTCTAACTGCTCCACATCTATGCAAACTTCTATGTTGAAACCAGCCCATCAGTGTATAGTTTTCTGGATTATTCAATACAGTTTTTTAATGTGGTTGTGAAAGTGCATTGGTTGGTTCTAAGTGGCTGTAACCTATGAAGTAGATTGGTTGATTGTCGTAACTGCTGAGCGCCACTCATTGCTTGCATTAATTTTGATATTGAGGTTGATTATTTTGTGACATCCAATTACCTATCAAAGAAGTTAACGTTTTCACGAGTCTGGCTGATTTGTTTGGTTACACAACTTTCAAGCAGTAATTCCAAGATTCACTTTTACCTGAGCTACTTAACGATAACATGAGGATTCAGGTGCTAAACGAATTACATTAAAAATTACCACGTCTCTGAGTTGCACCATCCCATGTCTTGCCTTACATGAAAACCGTGTTTAACAAGTGTGTACTCAACGAATAAGAACTGAAAGACAGTGTTTTTTTAGTGAACGTTTCTCTTTTACCTGAATCATAGTAACTAAGTGATCTTTCTCGTATTATGATGTGAATTATCGTTTAGGTGGATATTTTGCCTGAAGAAATCTTAAATCCTATGCAGTCTAATAAAGCCAAACTCATGCTATCAAACAATCGCCTATGTGAACTTCTTAATATATTTTGGGCGGCCGATTGGTTGACGGGTGCTGCTCAGCCACTACAAGGTATTCGCTCGATGTTTTATTCACGTGCTACTCCTGGACGGTTCGAGCTTTGTTTGGATGTTTTGCATTCTGTGGATTCATTAAACAGAGACAATTTAATTGATTCAATCTATAACTAGCTATTTTATGTTGACCATTTTGCATGCTATAAAAACAAAATTAATGTAAGTTTAAGCACTTACTTTTAATTTTTCACTTATTGTTTTACGCACTACTCAATATGCCGTCTTTCATCTACTCATCAGAGTTACAGCAACTTATTTGTCCTTTATCTTGTTTCATAATAAAACAAAATATGGTATTGACTACACCCGTCTCACTTCTTTTTTTTTCCTTCACGTTCCCCAGTGGAACATAGGGCTTCAAGCTAGAGGCTTGAAGTTTCTGTAGCAGTGTTTATTTTTACAGGATGGGGTTGCTAGCCTTATGCCCAACCTTTCCTCTTTACCAGCATTATTTCTGTCTCAGCGAGGTAGAGGAGTGCGTCGGCCGGACCATGTGCATGGTAGGCGAGCGTCCTAACCGCTATGTCACCGACTCACCACTTGTTTCTTTGGGAGATGGTTATTTTTAGATTGAAAAGTACAAGAAGTTCAGAAACACAGATATCTTTTCGGCGATTTCATTCTCAAAAGCTGTACAATCGCATTTATATAGATTATTTAACATGAATACAATTATTATTTATTTAATTCCACACAGTAACGAAGGTGATAATAACTTTAAACTTGATATGATAGTTTGAAGGTGCAAATATAGATTACAAGGGGCTTAGAGACAAGATTGCAGAGGATTAGAAAATAGTTACAACGTATGCAAAATTAGTATTTGATAACTAGAGAAATAATTTTAAAGTCGAATAAAAGGTGATAATTATTTTCAACTTGATATGAATTACGAGAGGCTTAGAGACAAAAATTACGCAGGGATAGAACGAATTAAAAGTGTGAACAAAATGAGTATGGAAACAAATTGAAATCAAAATTTTCAACTTGAAATGTTAGTTAGGAGGTGTGAATATAGATTGCAAGAGCCTTAGAAACACAAAAATTGCACAGGATTAAGATATGATTATAAAATAGTAATTTTAAACGAATTATAAATGTGAACAAGAAAAACATGGAAACAAACTTAAAATAACTGTTTTTATAACTGAAAAAATTAGGTGAATCTAATGAAGACTGAGGGACTAAGGATCAGACACACAGCGAACGAAGAAATGCTCAAAAAGAAAAGACAACGAAAAAACGGAAGCAAAGGGAACATACCAAACTAGGTCCATGGTAGTTGTAGAGGTTGGACTAGTTTCGTTTGAACACAAAGCTCCGGCTTTTCGATGCATATGGCGAGAGCTTCCGCAGTACAAAGAAGTCGGAAACACACTGCCTTTGGTAGATTTTTGTTCACTTTGTAAATGACTTTAAATGATGAGTCGGTTGAGATTCTGTGATAGGTATTGACGAGATGTTCTGTTATTGCGCTTCTGATTGAACCAGTGCCTCCTCTTTGCAGCCATACTGGATGATATTCGCTAACACGTTTTGATAAGACCCCGCATAGAACGACCTATGTGCCTAGCGCCGCAAGAGGAGGTGAACTGATATATGCACATTGAAGTGGTCATATGCGGAAGTCTGTCCTTCCCGTCGCTCCGAAATAGTGGGCGGCTAGAGAATATCACTCTTAGAGTTGCTGCCGGAAAAGTCTTCTTCAGGGAATTGGAGATTCTCATATATCATTAACAATAACGTAATAATCCAGTTCGTAGGAAATTCTTTGGTTTATTCGCGTGGACACGTTAGTGAAACAATAACAGTGACTGATACGGCAAAAACTCTCCAGTTTGATTGCATTCCAGTAGACAGTGCAGTTGTAGGAATCCGCTAAAAGAGGGAAAGGGTGTTTAGATAGTCATTCCATCGATTCATTATTGATTCCAAACAGGAAAGATATCATCTAATCTATGCACCTCCGACATCAGATGCACAATGGAACCGCCTATGTAAACTAGCAAAAAGACATCAGTGTGAGAGCTGACCAGAACACCAGGTACATTCGAAACACAAATACTTCCTTCTCCCTATATGTCTACCACGAAACGGCCACACTCCACGTGGCAGAAAAAGCAAGAGAAGAGAGCTTGAAAAGAGAGATAATGCATAGAAGTATGAGGGGAGAAGAGTGGTAATATGGAAGAAGATTGAAGTATTACTGCATATGACAAGTCACAAAGGGTGAATACATTTCCGCTGTGACTGAGAACGACTTTGAGCCATATCACTTGACTTATTATCAGAGTATGGTTTCGTCGAGTTGGAATGTAAAGATGTTTCTGTGCTTCAAGGTGAAAAACTGCAGAGTCTACTGAAAACCTTAAGCAGAAATCCTCGTTTTTGTGTGTGTGTCATGCGATTGGTCCCTATGAAATGTAAGAAGACGATACCGGATTCGTCTGTACGGAATCGAAGTTTGAAGATAAGGAGTGGAGTGATTGAAGACGTTAATAAGCTAAAACCAAAAGTTAGTAAGAGCCAGTGGGTTTCTACCGCCTCATCCGAACTGACGCAAGAAGACTGATTCCAGCGAGCTCCGACTCTGATGAGGAGCGAAAGCTACTCAAACGAAAACTAACAAGAAGTCTTCGCAACGACCGTGAACATTGGTGGGTGACAAAAGCGAAAGAGATGGAAAAGGCATCGGCGATTGGTAATACCAGACAACTATTTAGGCTTATCAGGGAAACAGGTGGTAAGAGGCGAATGATAAGTGAAACAATCTCTGAGGAAAATGGCACTATAATTAGCTCCCAGGACAGCTGACTGGATCGCTGGAAAGAGCATTATGAGGAGCAGTTTAATTGGCCCACAGCCACGCTCATCCTTCCGAACATCCAACACCTCCCTGAATGGGATATAGACACAGGTCATCCATCCCTAACTGAGGTTACTAAAGCTGTCACTAATCTGAAACAAGGCTAAGCAGTGGGACCTGATGGAATGACTCCAGAGGTATTTAAGTACGATGGAGACAGGAAGAGGGTGTATCGTTCATATCTTCATAGATTCTAGAACACATAGGCATTCTTACCGGCATCCAACAATCATTATATTTCTTGACCTGAAGGCGGAATTCGATTCTGTCGATCGAGAGGTTCTCTGGAGATGCCTGGCTGTAAAGGGAATTCCGAGAAAATACATTGCACTGGTTAAGGCACTCTACTCGAACTCATACAGCCAGGTGAGGGCTTCCGGCGAGTTGTCATCCGAAGTGGTGACGACTAGTGGTGTCCGTCAGGGATGCTCACTATCCCCATTTTTATTAGATTTCATCATAGATGTACTAATGGATTTAACCCTAACTCACTTCAGAGATTCAGGGATTAACTTACTACCAGGGTATAATCTCGTTGACTTAGAATATGCAGACGATATAGTCCTTCTAGGCGAGGACGCTGACAAAATGCAGAGTTTTCTAAACACCTTGAACCGCAATCTACGAATGTTTGGCATGCGATTCGCTCCCGCCAAATACAACATGATGTTACAGAACTGGACTACACTGACTCCTAGTTTAGAAACAGGGAGTGAAGTGGTAGAGCACGTTGACTGCTTCACTTATTTGGGAAGTACCATCGGCCAATGCCAACGGGTTGATCTCTGACGAAATCTCAGCACGAATACAAGGGGCTCGTTTCGCATTTGTCAGTTTACGCCGACTCTGGCGTAGACGAGATATTCGACTATCGACCAAAGAGTGTGTGTACTGCTCATCAGTCCGCTCCGTCCTCCTTTATGGCTGTGAGACCTGGCCATTGAGAGTGGAAGACATGAAAAGACTAGCTATCTTTGATGATAGGTGCCTGCATTCTATCTCCCGTGTGAAGTGGTATAATAAGGTGAGCAATATTGAGGTTAGGCTTCGGTCGAGTGCTAGGTAAGGAGGAGAAATCAATCGATGAGGCTTTGAAATTACACCGATTGAGATGGTTTGGACATGTTTTACGTATGCCTAGTCATCGACTTCCTCGACGGGCAATGTTAGCTGATATAGGGTCAGGCTGGAAAAGAGCTACCTGAGGTCAAACCAAAACATGGCACCAGTCAATGAAATCCACAACAATTAGTTTAAGCCACGTAAGAAGGTGGTTGGGGTCCTCGGGACGGTTAAAAACCAATGGTTGGAAACAATTGTTGATACGGCTCAAAATCGTTCTCAATGGCGCAGATACATCCACTTCCTGTGACTTATGATTTCCTATGAAACTATATTGATCTTCGTTACTTCTATTTCTTGTCTCACACCTCTGTTTACTGTCTTTATTATGCATTTCTTCTACTTTCTTCTCTTTGTGTGCTACATGGAGTGTGGCGACTTGAACTGCCGTCAATCGGTGCAAACTTTTATGCCGAAAACAGACAGACAATATCAGACTATCTTACAAGCTTTCAAAATCACATTAAGAAGATACCAGTGGCATTTCATTTAAACGGCTATTATAATTACAAAAGAATGATGGTTTCGGAAATTCTGTCGAGTTATACTTGAACCATGGGAGATTGATATTCAAATTCTAGTTCATTTATAATTTCACGCTTTTGAGTAAGCTAACAGCAACATGTTGAATACTATAAGCCTCTCAAAGTTACAAAATTATTAAAATTTTGGGGAAAAAATTAAATGTTAAGTGATGGTGAAAATTTCTTTGTAGGTCATTGCGACCCGGCAGGCATCGCTGCGTGATTCTTATGGATGGAGCTCTTGATCCCGCCTCGTTGGGGATATTCTCCTCGAATCGAAGGTGCCTTTTACAGTTAAACCTCGGTTAACTAATTCTGTCTTACAGTACTTGTTTTGTATTTAGAAACATCGATTACCGGTAATAGCTGCCTTCATGGCACTGTTGAGATAGTTTTGCGTTTGATATTATTAGTTGTGTAATAGAACCGCTAAAATATTGAAGAACAATTCTCCTTTCCCTGCCTCTGGAAAGTTTCGTGTTAGCGCGTGTTTCAACGAAGTTTTGTCTGTTTATACAGTCGAAAGCAAAGATCAGCTTATTGTGCTCACACGATAATCGAATAAATTTAGTTGCTACACATAGTCTCCCTGTGATTCTTGC